CTACTCCTGAAACCAATATATCACTATATGTTAACTAAAATTTAAATAAAAACTTGACACAATAAAAAGGAAGTTTTCTGAGAGATTTTTAATTTTGGGGGCAAAACGATTAATTATGTGAATTGATATGTTAATTCTTGTAATCAGTTCACATTGTATATGTATATCAAATTGTCACATTGTACACTTTAGTTATATTCAATTTTATTCATCAATTATACTTTATATAATGAAAAAAATATATATAGAAAATAAACATTTACGAATTTGGTTGATTACAGGATTCTTCCTCAAAGAGAGAGCTTCTCAATAGATAATGCCTTTGAATTTGAATTGACTTGAATCCCTGCAAATCCATGTTATAAGTATTAGAGGTAGGTTTTGCCCATTAAAATAATAATATTTCTGTCTCTTAGCTCTTTGTCCATTTATATATTTCACTTCTAAGACCTCCATGAAGAATGAGTCACTCCAGATCTTTGATTATTTTTAATGTTTTAAATTTTATTTATTTCTGAGAGAAAGAGAGAGAGAGAGACAGAGAATGAGCATGGCATGAGCAGGGGAGGAACAGAGAGATACGGAGACACAGAATTCAAAGCAGGCTCCAGGCTCTGAAGTGTCAGCAAAGAGCCTGACACAGGGCGAACTCATGAATCATGTTTGAGCTGTCCTGTCACGATTCATGACCTGAGCTGAAGTCGGACACTTAACCGACTGAGCCACCCAGGTGCCCCAGAGCTTTGGTTTTTAAACTCCTTTAGGATACCTAAAACTGTTTGAAATTAGGGAAACAAACAGAATCAATGTGGAATCTCTCACTTGTATTTAGGGACTGCTGGGGATAAGCAGCATGAGCTGCTGTAGGATTTTGGTGCTGTTTTCAAATATGTATATTATTATGACAAAACAAGAGCAACAATAACAACTACAAAAGTGTCCTCTGGGCCTTCTAAGAGGTACAGATAACCTATGACTTGGCAAATTGATGGTAACATATCTCCATTTCTCTGAGCCTTTGTGTCCTTGCTAAACTGTAACTGACAGAAGTGTTGGCATATAACCTCATTTACTATAGGCCACCCTTAAATTCAGACCTCAATTAGCCAGTACAATAGACTCTTAGTACCCTTTTCAAGTACTCAAAACAACACAATAAATTATAAACCATTGATGGGTATACCTGTGTAAATGAGGACTATCCTATTCAGTTTTAATATTACACTCTCTTTGACCTAATGCCCTTAGAATCAACTTCCATACATGTTATCCAGATTTCTTCCAACATAGATTGTCAATATCCTGTGACTCATTTAGTTCGTAGCAATGTTGTTTTTTTTTTTTTTTTCAGTACAGATTCTATGCTTCTGCTATGCTTTGCTGGATTCTTAGTCTCACTATGGAATAAATTAGAAAAGTTTGGAAACATATCAAGAAGAGAATTTTACCTCATAAACAATTCTCCCAGGTGAAGCCAATGGAGTAGTTTTACATATATGTTAGTTGATTCTCTCAAATAAGGGGGGTGATGTGGAATTCTTACATCATCAAAGAATGTTCCGGTATTTTCGGTTCAAATTTGCCAGTCTTGTCTGTGTCTACACAAAAATCTGCCATCCATTTTCCAGGCCCCACTCCTCCCAACCATAAGTTATCTTGGATATCTCTATATTCGAATTCTCTAGGAAAAAAAGCCAACAGAATGAACTGGATATATGTATGGATAGATAGGTCTATCTATCTATTTTTCTCTCTATCTTTCTTTCTTTCTTTCTTTCTATCATATATCATATATCTATCTGTATCTATTGATACATTATCAAAAGGACATTATGCTAAGTGAAACAAACCATATACAAAAGGCACATACTCTGTTATTATTTATATATGGGATTTTAAAAACTCAAACGTTGTAAATAAATAAGTATACATTTATTTTAAGAAACTGGCTTCTGTAATTATGTAGTCTGGCAAAAGCAAAATCTGCAGTGTGTATTAGAAGGCTGACAATCCAGGGAAGAGCTGATATGTAAGTTCAGGCCGAGTGATTGACTACTGGAGATCCATGAAAGAGCTGATGTTGCAGTTAATGACCAAAAGCCACTGTAGCTGCAAAATTCATTTACTTATGCTTAGAGGGAAGTCTTGTTTTGTGCTGTTCATCCAACACCATTGACCACTTCTCATTCTTCAATCATGTTCTTCTCCAGGCTTCTGTGACAGCTATACACTCATAATTTTCTGCCTCGAGTGCCCCTTTTTTATCCTGTGTTAAATTTCTCCTTTGTTCAGCTTCCACTTTTTAATGTAATCCAAGAATCTAGTCATGATTTTCTTCTTTATGTTATTTTTTCAGAGAATTTATATAAAGTAATACTTGGCCCTACTCCAAATATTTCTGATAACTAAATACAATTCTTCATATCAGCTGTTACTTTTCATGTTCACACCACTGTGATTCTTTTTTATGTTACCACAAAAGCCACCTAAGCCATCCCAAATTTATTTCTTGTTCAACATATTTTTCTGTGCAGTCCAGGGATATTGAATCTTAAAACAAAAAGAAAGAGAGAGCACGCGCACAAACAACTAAGGAAACAACAACAACAAGGTCAAATTACTTTACTTCCATCCGGAAATCTTTAAAATAAAATTTTTAAAAAATTATTAAGAATAATGTAAAATTTTCTTAGTACATTTCAAAGTTTTAAATGAATATATTATTGTCTATCTCTCTGACTTCATCTAATACTATTATTCTTTTATCATTCTGTACTAGCAACTCTGTATTTTTTCTTTTTTTAAAAAAAAATTAATGTTTTGTTTATTTCTGAGAGAGAGAGAAAGAGGCAGGGTGAGCAGGGGAGGGTCAGAGAGAGAGGGAGACAAAGAATCCAAAGCAGTCTCCAGGCTCTGAGCTAGCTGGCAGCACAGAGTCCGAACCGGGTATCGAACTCGATCATGACCTAAGCCAAAGTTGGACTCTTAACCAACTGAGCAACCTAGGCATATTTCAATGCTTTTATAAAAGGATCTCATTCAAAAATTGATATATTTATTTAATTTAATGTTTATTTTTCTGAACACTGATAATTAAATTTATGATGCATTTGTAATGAATAGAAATGGATTGATATTAAGTGTATGTTAAAAGAGAAGTTATGGTATAGCTATCATATGCTCAGGACTATGGTTTGCATTATAAAAAAATCAAAGTTTACTTCTATATGGACTTTTCATATACGTATCACATAAACCAGTTTCTGTGTGTTAAATCAATTTGCTTGTTAGAAGGGATATATATGTTTTTTTGTTTGTTTGTTTGTTTATCAACTATATGTGTGAGTCTCACTAGAAAAGATACCAAAGCTATTTGCATCAGCTATATATAAGAATTTAGAGATTGAGATGCGTATAATTAGGTGCTTCATATTTCCATATATCCAGACCTTATTTAAGCTAGACTTTGAAATTCGGGTATAATTTAGGCAAGTAGGAGATTTCATCAGGAGGGTAATTATAAAGCTTCAGAAATACTATGATAAACCTATAGAACATGAAAGGTATTGGTACAGACAAGAAAGGCTTTTTCCCCATGTCCCTATGTTGTGAGCCATATAACTGAAAACATACTACCCGTCTTCCCTCAATCTCAGTTTTTCCATCTGTTTAACTATATTCACATTACTTCACATTGGTTGAGAGCATTTGCAGAGATGGTGGACAGAGAAGTGTCTGATATAGTGAAAGTGATCAATTAATATTAATTTCTATCTTAATTAAAAGTGTATGGGTGCACCAGGGTGGCTCATTCAGTTAAATATCAGACTCCTGATTTCGGCTTAGGTCATGATCTCATGGTTCGACAATTGGAGCCCCATATAGGGCTTCACGCTCACATTGCATAGCTCACTTGGGATTGTCTCTCCCTCTCTCTGTGCCCTTCTCCAACTCACATTCATTTCACCTTCTTTCTCAAAATAAATAAATAAATTTAAAAAGAGTTTTACAAATATGTGGAGGAATCAGTTAAAAGAATAACAGTAAAAAGATAGTTTTTTGCAGCAAGAAGTAGAAAATAATTTTGAATATTTAAGCTAATGAAAATGTTATAGATACTGAAATCTGGAAAAAGTTGATATATAATTGATCACAACGTGAGAAACAGTGCCAAATGTTGTTTTCATAAATTTTGACCTTATAAAAAAAAAACAATTAGCCCAACATCTGACATCAACAGGTTAGATAAGAATAAATTTTATAAAAAGAAAAATATCTGATGCCAAAAAAAATTTTAATAAAAAACCCTAATATTTAAGATATATTTAATATCTTCTTAAATATATGAGTAATTGTATAAAATCGATCATCAAACATATATTGGTCAAATAACTGAAGCTTGTGGGGTGTCTGTATGGCTAAGTGTCCCACTTAAGTTGGTTAAATGCCCCACTTTTGATTTCAACTTAGGTCATATCTCATGGTTTGTAGGATCAACTTCCATGTCAGGCTTTGCTCTGAAGGTGCAGATCCTGCTTGGAATTCTCTCTCTTCTCTCTCTGACCCTTCCTCCCTCTCTCTTTCTCTCAAAGTAAATAAATAAACATTTAAAAAATAAAATAACTGAAGCTTGTGACAGAATCAAGTATTTTTTGGGACGCCTGGGTGGCTCAGGTGGTTAAGCATCCAATTTCAGCTCAGGTCATGATCTCACAGTTTGGAGGTTTAAACCCCCGCATCGGTCTCTGTGCTGACATATCAGAGCCCGGAGCCTGCCTCGACTTCTGTCTCCTTATATCTCTCTTTCTCTGCCACTCCCTTACTCATCCTCTCTCTCTCTCTCAAACAAATAAATAAGCATTAATTTTTTTAAAAAAACTGACGACCTGAGATCATTACTAAAAAGATTCAACAATATATTAATCTCTAACACAGATAATTCCAAACAGCTAGTTAATTGTGGAACAACAAAAATTCCTAGTTCCTAACTTCAACTTTAGTCATCTTTCCCTTATTCCACTTCTTTTAAGCCTCCATAGGATTTTATCTAAGGCTGATTTAATATTTTTACTCCTCATACAGCAGATAATAAGGTTCAAGGTTGGAGGTACCACAGAATAGAACACAGACACAAATAAGTCCAGAATAGAAGGCTCATCAGAAACTGGCTTTAAATAAGCAATAGCGCCTGTTAGAAGAAATGCACTCACCACACTGAGGTGAGGCAAGCAGGTGGAAAAGCCTTTGGACTGCTTCTGTGTGTTTGGGATCTTTAACACAGTGGAAAAAATATATACATGAGAGACAACAATGCAAACTAAACACGAAAATGCATAACAGACCCCAATGGTCACACTGACATTAATAGTTTTATGTTCCTTAAAAGAACTGAGCTTTAGTAGGGCAGACACATCACAGAAGAACTGATGGATCTTAGTGGACCCACAAAAGTTTAAAGAGAATGTCCCAGATGAGTACAAGATTCCAAAGACCCCTCCATTGAGCCAGGATATAGTCATCAGCTGGACACAGACTCCTTTGCTCATTGTAGCCTCATAATGCAGAGGACGACAGATGGCAATATAGCGGTCATAGGACATTGCAGTGAGAATGCTAATATCTGACCCAGACATTAGCACCACACAGAAGAGCTGTAACACACATTCCAGAAAAGAGATGGAGTCAGTGAAGGTGATGGAATTGAGGATGGATTTGGGTATTGTGGCAGAAATGAGGCACAGATCTAAGAAGGACAAATGCCTTAGGAAAAATTACATTGGAGTGTGGAGGCATTGGTCAAGAACTGTGAGGAGGATGATAATTAAATTTTCCATCATGGCCACTAGGTAGATCCGCGAGAAGACCACAGCATGTAGCCTCAACAACATCTGGCTCTCAGTAAATCCCACAAGCAAGAATTCCATTAGTAGTGTTTGATTCATCGTATTTTAAAATTATAAGCCACCTATTAAATAAAGAAAAAATATCTTAATTTAAACAAAATATAAAATACTTCTTTATTTTTGAAGTATTTATACTTTAGTATAATGGGATAGATGGAAAATGTTAAATATCAAAAAAACCATATTTATAGTTGATGCAGGAATAAAACAACTATGAGCATATAAGTTCAATATAACTGGACTCAAATTCACTGTGGAAGATGAAAATAACTCTGTTTTGCTCCCTAAATGAACACTGGAGATTATTATTTAGTAAGCTTATTTCCTGCAGGAATTGCAGAATTGGCTCCTAAAATGAACAGTTGATATTACTTTTTAGTAAACATTCCCTGTAGGAATTCTAGAATTGGATCCACAATTCCGCTTGTAATAGAATGCATATTTGTTTGCATAAGGATTATCCTAATTGATGTAAGTATTGATGTGGGTTACAAATCATGGATGAATCTTCTGCTTGTAGCATACGCAATCTGTTTAAATAATCATTAATGTTAGTTGATATTCTGTTATATTATCCTCTTCTCATTGAAAGACTTTAGGGTTTATTCCATATTTTCATTAAAAATATTTTTGGTGAAAATATCCTCAATAATATTTCCTATTATTTTTTTCACAGATGTTCACTAAAACAAAAAACAATTAGAAAGCTACTCTGGTAAGTTTGACCAATTGGTTTACAAGTGTATCATGTCATTTTTTTTTTGATGAAAAGAACAAAATTTAAGACTGTAGGCCAAATATTTATCATGCAACACTAGTAAATACTTAATTATTAACAAGAACTAACAAATATTAGAGATATCAACTATATCTAATGAGAAAAACTGAATGTTCTTCCATCTTAAAGTCACAAAGGACTTACAATCCATGATCACTCACAATACCATTGGGGAGATCTGTGGTCATATTTTTCTCCCTCAGATCATCTCAGTCTTTAGAGACTCTCTGATTTTACATTAGCCTAACTCAGTGACAATTTCTTATTTCTCCACACAACCTATTTTAGCTTTTCGCAGTATATGTGGATTTCTCATTGAATGCTTTAGCAAAAATAAATTTTAAAAATTAATTAATAAAACAAAAGTTTAAAAATAATGATTCTCCTTAACCTTTGTAAATGACGCTCAACCTTTGATACACAAAGCTCTAACTGAGTACTAACTACAGAAATTCTAAGGACACTTTCTCCATCCTTGGAATCTTTCTCAGAAGCCTTTCTCTGTTCTGAGTCAGACTTTTGAGAAGTCCCTGTCCCTGGGCCCATCTCTGATAAATTAACAATCACCTTCCCAATCATCCAATTTACACACCATGACATAGAGTTTCTCTCAAAAACTAAAATTAGTGGGAATTGATAATCATTATTCTAGTTCTACTCCTCTACCTATGGATAACCTCTCAGTCATTTTATTTATTTTTTTTATTTATTTCTGAGAGAGAGAGAGAGACAGCATGAGCAGGGGAGGGTCAGAGAGAGAAGGAGACACAGAATCTGAAACAGGCTCCAGGCTCCGAGCTAGCTGTCAGCACAGAGCCCGACGCGAGGCTCGAACCCACAAACTGCGAGATCATGACCTGAGCTGAAGTCGGATGCTTAACTGCCTCTCAGTCATTTTAATTTCAGTGCCTTAATTATCTGAGTAGTCCAAGGTTTACCCAGGTGCAACTGGACAAGAGCACATTCTCTATGTGACAGTGAGCCAAACTGAAGATTCCTTGTACCTACTTTGATGTTTCTTCTTTCCACCTGGAAAAGTAGGCTCAGACCTTCCATTGATTCTTTATGTAGTTTCTGCACTTTCTAAACTTTAGCCAAGGTCCATTTTGTTGATCTCTTATTAATCTGTAATTCCAAGAAGTACAAAATACACATATACACATAATTTGACCAGTGTTGTTTCTGTTTCACTATGTGAACATAATTTCATATTTAGTAAAATCAATATTTACTTTGACCAGCTACCCCTACGGGTTTGACAATCAGATACAACTATTAATATTTCCACAATCAAAACTAATTATTAATATTTTAATGTGAATCTTTCTAAGAGTTTAATATTATCTTTCTAGTTATTAGATTAAATTTATAAAATAAAAATGTTATTGGGGCACCTGGGTGGCTCAGTCGGTTAAGCGTCCGACTTCGGCTCAGGTCATGATCTCGCGGTTTGTGGGCTCGAGCCCCGCATCGGGCTCTGTGCTGACACCCATATATATATATTCCAAGAGTTTATTTTTACTTTTATTTCCCTTGTCTCAGGAGACATAAGTAGAAAAATGTAACCACACTCAATGTCAGAGATATTACTTCCAGTGCTCTCTTCTATTTTTTGTTTCTATTATGGTTTCAGGTAACACTTAGTTCTTTAATCTATTTGAACTTCTTTTTGTGTATGGCATGAAAAGTGACCCAGATGCACTACTTTGGATATAGCTGTTCAGTTTTCTGAAAACCATTTGTTGAAGAGACTGTCTTTTTCCCCCATGTGTTCTATCTTCCTTTACCTAAGACTAATGGACTATATAATTGTGGTTTTATTTTTGAGTTTCCTATTCTGTTCCATGGATCTATGTGTTTGTTTTTGTACCAGTACCATACTGTTTTGATGACTACAACTTTGAAATAAAACTTGAAGTCTGGAATTCTTATATTTCCTGCTTTTATTTCTTTTTTAAGACTCCTTTGGTTATTTGAGGATTTTGTTGCTGTTGTTGCTCCATACAGATTTTAGGATTGTTCTAGTTCCAGAAAAACTGCTGTTGGTATTTTGATAGAGATTTCATTAAATCTGTAGATTACTTTGTGCAGTATAGTCAATTTCACAATTTTTGTTTTTTAACCAATGAGCATGGAATGTCTTTCCATTTTTTTCTGCCGTCTTTTATTTCACCACTGTTTTATAGTTTTCAGAGTACAGGCCTTTTGCATCTTTGGTTAAGTTTATTCCTAAATATTTTATCACTTTTGGTAAAATTGTGAAAAATAAAGTATTGGAATTTCATCAAAATAAAAAGCTTCTGCACAGTGAAATAGTCAACAAAACTAACTGGTGACATACAGAATGAGAGAAGATATTTGCAAATTACACGTGTGATAAAGTGTTAGTATCCAAAATATATAATAGCTTATAAAACTTAACAGTCAAAAATGAATAATGCAAATAAAAAATAAGATTCTTTTCTTAATTTCACTTTCTACTCTTTCATTATTAGTGTATAAAAAGTCAACACATTTCTGTATATTTATTTTGTATCCGGAGACTTTATTGAATTCATTTTTCCATTCTAGTAGAGTGTTTTTGGTGGAATTTTCTCTATATAGTATCATATCATCTGCAAATAGTGAAGATTTTAATTCTTCCTTATGAATAAGAAGCTTTTGATTTCTTCGTTTTTGTTTTCGTTTGTTTGTTTGTTTTTGGTTTTGTTTCTCATCTGATTTGTGTGTCTATGACTTCCAGTACTATGTTAAATAAAATGGTTGAGAGTGCACATCTTTCTCTTATTCCTGACCTTAGGAGAAAAACTTCCAGTTGTTCTTTATTTAGTATGATATTCTCTGTGGATTTTTTGGTATAAGGCCTTTAATTTGTTGAGACATGTTCCCTTTAAACTTACATTGCTCTTTTTTTTTTATCATAAATGTAGTTATTTGGGCAAATGCTTTTTCTTCTCTATTGAAATTATTATATACTTAATATCTTTTATTAATGCAATATATTACGTTGAGTGATTTGCAAATATTGAACCACTCTTGCATCCTGGGAATAAATTCTACATGATCATGGTGAAGATTTTTTAATGTATTGTTGAATTTGATTTCCTAATGTTTTGTAGAGGATTTTTCCATTTATGTTCATCACAGTTAATGCCTGGTGATTCTCTTTTTTTGTGTGTGGTGTCTTTATCCTGTTTGGTATAAGGTAATCTTGGCCTCATAGAATGAACTTGGAAGCTTTCCTTCTTCTTTGATGCTTTGGGATGGCTTTGGAAGAATATTAATTATTCTTTAAATTTTTGCTATAATTCCTCTGGAAGTCATATGACCCTTGACTTTTTAAAAATTTTTAATATCTTATTTTATTTATTTATTTCTGAGAGAGAGAGAAAGAGAGAGAGCAGGGGAGGGTCAGAGTGAGAGAGAGACACAGTATCTGAAACAGGCTCCAGGCTCTGAGCTAGCTGTCAGCACAGAGCCCGATGCGGGGCTCGAACCCACCAACTGTGAGATCATGACCTGAGCCAAAGTCAGACGCTTAACGGACTGAGGCACTCAGGTGCCCCTGGCCCTTGACTTTGATTTGTTGGAAGTTATTTTATAACGAGGAGAATATCTGAGTCCAAAAAGTATGATTTTCATCAGAAGGAGAGAATTATTTTCTTCAAAGTATGAGCAATTGTATAAAATCCATCATCAAATATTAGTGTCATTGCTTTAAATTACTTTTAACTTTTTTAAGGTTATATATTTCTTTTGAGAGAGCAAGTGAGAGAGAGGGAACAGATTCAGGGACAGAGAGAGGGAGACAGAAAGAATCCCGAGAAGGCTCTGCATTGTCAGCATGGAGCCTGATGCAAGATTCAACCCCAAGAACTATGAGATCATGACCTAAGTCAACAGCAAGAGTCAGACGCTTGACTGACTGAGACGTTGGTGCCCCAATCATTTTATTTAAAATCAAATTTCCATAATATACTGAAACTAAAAGGTATAACTGGCATAAATAAAATGTAGATGCAAAAATTTAATAGTAAAATATGAATTAAATAAAATTTCATGAAACATGATAGTTTCAGATGAATAAAAATCTCATGTATATGGAGCTCAGTACAGGAGTTCAAATCATTAAAGTTGTAAGAGGAAAATTTATTATAAGAGAAAATTAATTTATATTAAAACTGACAACACAAGATAATTACCAAGAAGACTCCATGATATATTCATGTTTAATACAAATAATTCCAAACAGCTAGTTAAT